GGAGTATAATTCAAGTTCAGCGGTCGGGCATCTACTTGGAGGAAAGGGAAAACATCTCAGATTACAATTAAAGTCAACAACAAAAGAAGTTCGCGGCAAGAATGCGAGTCAACAGTCCGAGCTGATCAACAAAAGTTAGTCGCGATCCAAAAAAAAAGGAAAGGCAAAAAGTGAATCCAAATGCAGAAGTTGATGAAAGATATGAGCTTCTCAAGACATGGTTAAGGTGACAAGCACTACATGTCCGGTCTTGATCCGAAAATCTGAAGAAGAACGGGCTAGCACCTGCAACTAGCAAGCGTCAAGGTTCAAATCCAAAGTCTGCATGAAGAACCATTCAAGACTCAAGATCAAGCTTCAAAAGACTTATAGATAGGAATCTTGTAACTCGTAGTTGATAGGCTTAGCTAGTTTTTTCCATGTTTTGATTTTTGATGTAACATCAGGATTGCGGATCGGAGCCTCAGACGGAACCTCACTCGACTCTTGAACATCACTTCATCACCTTATCCATTTTTGAACTACACGTGTCCCGATTCCCTTATAACTCGGGATATGTAGGCTGTCCAAAATCAGGACTGGGTTGCACCTTTTCTTTTTATTTTATTTTCCTCTTTTGAATACCGATATGGTCAAAATATTAGTCACATGGTTCACTTTATCTTTGCTAGAAAACTCTTCGTGTTTCCGAGCAAAGAGGGGCAGCTGTGAACACTCAATTTTTGACCGCACTCAAATTTTATACTAGTTTAGTGTAAATATTTCTTTTAGGTCTAATCTTAATATTTTAAAAAAAAAATTATCTTACTTTTAATATGTTTTACTTTAGAAAAAAAGGGGTGCCAAGAAGAGTTAAAATAAAATAAATAATAAACTAACGGAACAACAAGAATCAGTAAATTAAGAAAGATACAAAATGATATCCCTTTTACCCATGATCTCCTCAACCGCCCCACGATTTCTCCTCCTAACTCCCATTTTTCCACTTCCTCATGTTAGTGACTTTTTCACTTCCTCATATTAGTGACTTTTCCACTTTCTCATATTAGTGACTTCCCCACTTCATCATGTTAGTGGTCATGTCCCAATCCCCACTTCCTCATGTTAGTGCTCACTCCCTCACATCTCATATCATGCGCACACACACAATCACTGGCACACACACACGATCTTACATAAAAACACACATACACATCTATATAATACACTTCACAAATAAAAAGAAAGAAAAGAGAAAAAAAAACAATAATTCAAGTAAGAAGAAATGAGAGGAGAAGTTCAAAACATAGAGACGAAAAAAGGGATGGCTTCTTCTTAACGGGGACAGGGGGTATACACTCGATATACAGTCACTATACATTTTTTATACACTAGCGATACTCTCGATATACACTGGATATACACGAGCAGCCATTGAAAAATACAAGGTCATGAACCCCAACCCAGANTCCATAACCATCGAGTGTTAGTGTCAGAATTTTGGTGTTTCGAGGTTACAGATTGTTGGTTCTGTTTGTGGTTCGAGAGGTCCGTCGAGGTTGCCGCCGGCAAAGGTTTGTGGTCGTTTTATTTCTTGGCTTGATGTTTGAGTTACAGAAATGTAAAGTTTGATCCGGTCAATATAAAGGTCCATTCCCAATCTAATCTTTTATCCTTCAAATGCATTTGGATCTAGCAAAAGAAAATTCTGTTAGCTACAAGTTGTTTGCGTGCCATATTTTTGCCATGCTTTAATGTCTAATTTGATCCTTTAACTTGGTGTCATGATATTTGCTACAATTTTATTTGCATTATGAATGTTTAAGTTAAGTGAAATTCTTATTGTTTAAGTTAAATGAGTAAGTTAATTGATATTCTTGTTGTTATGTAGTTGCAAGTGTGTTAAAGTCATGAATGTATATACACACTATTTCTATAATCTGATGTCCTAGGTATAAATAAAAGAATATTATTTCCTTTATTAGATCTAAAGAGAAACAACAAACTGAAATTTGTTAGAGCTAAAAGTCGTGTAGGCTAGTTGCTATAGAATGAGCCAAATAACTGGCCACTGGTATTGGAAATCGGACATAAGCTTGGTATAAGAATGATGTTTTGGTTGAAATAAATCACATTGCACCTTGGCGTTTTAGTTAAATGCTGACCTATTTCTTCGATAATCAAGAACATCGAATTATTCAACGATACTAGTATGCCTGTACCCACGTTCTCTTAATAATCTATTATCGTAATTGTGTACATGTTCGCGTGACATAGTTACGATTTTTAGAATAAATCAAGGTACGCGTTCGCGCGATTTTGGCTAAGTTTTTTTTTTGTAATAATAATAAAGTGTTGTTAATCGTGTACACATACGCGTGACATGATTTTTAACGCGCAAAACAAAATGAGTACACGTATGCGTGACTCGTTTCAGGTTAATTTCTTAATTAAAAGCGGTAAAAAGGTAAATGCACATAGGTTCTAAAATGAGTAATTAAACAATTTTAATAAGCCAAGTATGATCAAAGCAACCGTGCTAAAACCACGGAACTCGGGAGTACCTAACACCTTCTCCGGGTTAACAGAATTTCTTACCCGGATTTCTGTGTTCGCAGACTGTAAACAGAGTCAATATTTTCCTCGATTCGGGATTCGAACCGGTGACTTGGGACGCCATAAATTATCCCAAGTGGCGACTCTGAATCTTTAATTGAAATAAATCTCGTTTCAATTATCACTTTAATTGGAAAAACTCCTTTATACCCCTCGGTGTAGTGAAAAAGGAGGTGTGACAACAGAAATATCTCAATTCCGACAAACAAATTCCTTAGTCCAAATTGTCCACATATTGTAGGCAACTATGTTCGAGAGCTCGTTTGAAGTTTGATATACCAACTACCAAGTCTCCCACCCTTAATTTGTTTGCTTCATAAGGCTTGTTCATTAGTACACATATATAGATGAAGATTGAAGAGATGGGCAAAGCTTCATTGATCGTATACATCAATTGTTGTCTCCTCTCCTCATTTTTAATGATCCTTCCATCAAAGCTAAGTGTCATGACCATCATTCCCTTAATTTACAATCTAGCTTCGTTCTCTTAAATTTTATTTTTCTAGCCTTATGAGATGCAAAATCAAAGCTTTTCGATAGTGAAAGCTTTTCTTTTGTCATCCCTCTATTGTTTTGTTTGGTTTCCTGGAAATATTTTAATTATCCTTGTTAAATCTACAAATAATATGAGCTTTCTTTTCTATATTTTTAATTTCTTTGTTTTCCAGTGTAGAAGGAACTAAGAAACAATGAATAAAAATGATGATGGCAGCATCTAGTGATAATAAATAAATAGTTAATGGGGCCTCAAAAGATCGGGGCCTAAAGCAGTTGCTTCAGCTGCTTGGCCCTTCAACCTTCAATCGGCACTGCGATGAACGCATTCACTTCAATCCTTTAGTGTCTAAAAGTCGAGTGTCAACGTGAGGACAAGGAACGGAGAAGTAGTATATGGATGCCCATCATTCAGAATTACATGAGAACGATCGAACAACCGCAGCCTGAAATGTAAGACCTTATGGATGCTGAAGATTATCTAAATGATGAGTAGAAGTTCAATGTAACTGATAGGCTCATCCTGTTGTGCTTAGTGACGTATGATTACACATAGGATCTCCAATTGTTTAAGACGGATTAGGTATCTATATAAGTGTCTCCTGGAATTCTAAGCATCCAAAACTGAAATGTTTCTAATTAATGCTAGCTGTTTTTACTTATTGTGCATAGAAGGGGATAAAGAATTAGTCTTTTTGTCTTCCTTTTAATTGTATTACTACTAACCAAACGTTTATTATTGTGGGAACTAAAATGAAATAAACAAAGAGGTAAATAAATCATCTGTTTTGTCTTTAACTAACCAATAAATAGTTATTACTAGTATAAACGATGAAAGAAACAAAAATAAATGCTGAAATAACTACAGGTAAGAAAATTTACACACCTAATAAGTTGTAATAACTATGGGTAAATGGAACAAATTCTCCATATTCACACGGTTCAATGTTACAAATAATATTCATTTAATGGAAGGTTTTTCTTTCTTTAAGGACAAAATGGTCATTCAGATTTTAAAGGGCATTTTAGTAAACTAACTTCATCTAAAAGTGTTCATGCTTATAATATGGTATGATGATAATATACTTATATTGTTCATGTCTATACTGTGGCTCACTTTGATGTTCCCCGTAAATCTTGTAGGAAAAAAAATAGCAAAAAAGATGGGGGACCCTAAGAATCGGGGGGATTGAACCCGACGTGAATCGAACACGCAACCTTCTGATCTGGAGTCAGACGCGCTACCATTGCGCCACGGATCCAATGTTCTTTGACAACTGAGAAAACTCTATAAAATACAAAAAATGTTGGATTAACATTTCACCTTCATATAGCTACTAACGAATCCAGTAACTATAGTAGCAGTAATTAACTACTCGAGAATAAAAGCTGCATTAATTCGCACTCCTAAATTTAAAAAAAAAAAAAAAAAAAAAAAAAAAATTAGCAAGTGCGAAATAATAATTAAATTTGACTCCTGATTTCAGTTAAAAGTCGGGTTATTCTGTGAGTCTTTTCCTTGGCACCTTATATATACACTTTTTTTTCTTCCTATTATCAGCTGCTTAGCCTTACATTTACTGGTTCACTCATTGATACGATCATCCATTGAATTTCAAATTGTGTAAAGCTCTTTTATCAACATTGAATTTGACAGCAAGCTTCACGATTGAACTCACAAATTCAAATGAACTCAAGTTCAAGAAATCAAACAACAGTCTTCCTGACTAAAAATACATATAGAGGAATAGGCATGAAAGATATTTTCTCCACTTCCCAGCCAGAGACTGAATCTAAGGTGAGTTATGTGACTTCAATTGAACCCGTTGCTTTCATCTCGAAGTATGTATACATATGCAAAAGGATAATATATTAGATATAATAAGATCATACTCAGTATGAACCAAAGGGAGAAGTAAGAGAATTTCTGTTAATTCATAACAAGTGTTATACGTTCTAACCAAGCAAAAAGCTCTATTTGCTGTTAAGTTCATCAAAGACAGTTTGGTCACCTGAAACTCATAGTTCACGGCAGATAAACTTATGTACATTATAAACAACTCAGAGTTGCATGCTATAATTTTTATTCTCTTCAGTCTAGTTCAAATGACAACCTCAGATATGAGCGACGAAATCATCACTGTTGTCAATTTCAGATTCCAGGTCACCTTCCATGTCATCGGGGTCGACTGTTGCCCCAGCAGGAGCTTGCTCAGGTTTTGACCCTTCTCCAAGGATCTTTGCCTCTTGTATGATCCGCATTATATCTTCCACTCTTTGCTGTGACTTCTCTGAAGCTTCGCCATAGTTCGCCTTCTCGCCATCCATCAAGTTTTTCGGCAGATTCTTTAGAAACCAGGAATGTTTCTTTATCTCCGGAATAGTGATCCTCTGCAGTATATTGAAATGTTTCAGCTAAACCCAGAGGCGGAGCCAGGATTTCAAATTTATGGGTTCAGGATTCTAATCGTTTTAAGTTACTGGGTTCTAAATTAATAATTTATACATATTCAATTGATTTATTAAGACAAATTCAGGGTTCGAACCAAAGCTACTGGTTCGGCCTAACCCGCTCCCGAGACTCTAGCTCCGCCCCTGGCTAAACCCATCTTTAGTATATACACAGCTGACAGATTTTTTTTAACAAGAAAGCTTGTGTCTAACGTGTAAAATATATTGAAATAAGATGCTTTTCCCGTAAACTGAAGGATCTTCCATTGAAAACCTTTACAGATATCAACGCGCTAGCTAGTGCAATAAATGAAACTTACCATTGATGGATTCGCAACAAAGATTCGAGAAAGAAGGTTCTTGCAATCTGCAGATATTCTTATATAATCCGGTATGGAGAACTGGGCACTCATTATTCTCTGGAAAAGGAAACAAACAGTACTTAATCTGCTAATTGAGACAATAGCGAATCGAACATTGTTCAGGAGATGAGCTTACGTAGTTCAAACCTCAAATCAAAGTATAAGTACAAACTTACCCCAATAGTTTTACGGAAATTTCTAGGATCTTCAGGATCCTCAAAAGGGTATGCTCCTACTAACATCACATACAGTGTCACCCCACATGACCACACGTCTGCAACCTGAAAATGCTAGACTTTAAATCTGCAGAATACTTCAAGTAACTCAAAATGAACCAGATGTAAACAGCATTCAAACATTCAGAAAGGCTATGATATATAAATGAGCTAGCAAGTTCTTACTAAAATGTAGTGTTCCATTTTTATTTATTTTTTGGTTTGACAAGTTCTAACGGGAAGATTTGCTTTAGGCCTAAATATTTAGCCAGAACTAACTAGGCTGCATCAAGTGGTTCAGCTCTAAATCAGCATGATTGAACAGTGGGGTAGTTCTTGTGCAAACAAACCTAGAAACAGATACTAGTACAAGTTCAGCAGGTTCTTCATCAGATTTTTTCATGGTTTTTTAAGCATGTAGTAGCATATATTTAGTTTCAAACAAGAAAAAATCAGTACTTCATCCGTAAATTTACTTATCTTTACTGAACATCTTTTTTGCAAAAATTTTAAAGTATATCCACTGCTGCAATATTTAGTGAAAAGCCAAGTATACCGTCTGTGCAAGCAAACAAAGGCCCCTATGGTAGATTAGTGAAAGGGAAATCGATAAGTAAAATTATCAGGGTAATGCAATTCTTGTGATGCTTGAGGGTTTTGCTTTAGCTATAATGGGAGGAATACGGAAAAGGGGGTTTGGATTTAAAGGTCGAAAGACAACTTGTCAAAGAATTCTTCAAGATTCTAATGTATACCTTCCCATCATATTCCTTCCGCGAGAGGACCTCTGGAGCAATGTAAGCAGGCGTTCCTACTGTTGACTTGGGTTGTGAATGCAATAATCCAGACTGCATGAAGAAAATAGCATGTACAAAGTGCAATGTCTTCTAGATATATGATATAGTACATAACTTCTCAACTAGAAAGCAAGAAACCTTGGAATAGCCAAAATCACATATTTTTAGACGTGGTGTTGGGCTTCCATCAAGGAGCGTGTTTTCCAACTTCAAATCCCTGTGACAAATTTCCTGCAGTAAAGTAGAAGTATTGCTTGAGAAGATTATTACACGAGCAGATGAATATCATAAAAGAACAAAGAGTAGTTTGAATGTTGTACCATTGAATGACAGTAGCTGACTCCAGATATTAGCTGTTGGAAGAAGAAGCGAGCCTGTTGTTGGTAGAACAAAATGAAATGATAAGGATAACATCTCATTCTCACCACCTACAGTAACAGAATAAGTTGGATATCTTTATAACCTCATCTTCACTAAATCTTCCCGCACTGCATATTCTAGCAAAAAGTTCTCCCCCTGCTGCATATTCCATCACGATTGCTAAATGTGTCGGAGTCAACAATACCTTTAACAAAAGGTCCATACCATGTTAATTATGGCACAGCAAGATGGAATAAAGCGCTTTAGTAATTATCAATTAGTGATTGTGACATACCGCAGAAGTTAACCTTTCAAGCGTGAAGATCACAGCTGTGAAGGGTTATGTAAAACAGTGGTAATTGCCTTAGAGACACATTTATAGATTTTATTGGGATGACAGTTTGAGCAAAAAGTACACCGCTTACTCTATATGCACTTCATTGTATACACAAGCAGAACTATTGTAACCTGTATGTGTTTCCACTTATCCTGAAAGCATTTCTGTATTCAAAATATTCTGATAAAATATTTGATTTGTTAACTGGCAGCTTAGCTAAAGAAAAAGCTTCACTGTAAGGAATGTGCAAAGGGACGACAATTTTGCTTCATCTTGTATGCTTTGCATTTAACGCTTTGGGCTGCTTCGGGTAAGCAACTATGCGATCATTATATATGAATCATACAACAAATAAAGGGGATAGAATATGCATATCGGAAAAGAAAGGTGAATCCATTTTCCTTTATTGTTCCAGTCTTCTCCAGAGCGGGCACTACACTAGTCAGTGAAAGCATCTATCAAGTACTTTGATCTCAACATGATGCTGGTTTGTCATCTAAAATGGAGCAGGAGACATGAAAAGTGAAGAAAGAAACAACACAAGGACCTACTGTTACCTATAACTGAAAATGTAGATAACCTCTAGTCATGTTAGAGAATCCAAATTACTCAATATTGGAATGAAACGGATATATATGAGGTGAAATTAGATAGCAAGAATTCACATAGTTGACCCCAACTAACTTGGAATTAAGGCGTTGTTGTTATTGTACTAAGTCTTCAAGTCAAGAAAAAAAGATGTATTTACCTCTTTAAATCTGATAATGTTTGGATGCCTCAATGATCTATGATTTATGATTTCCCTCTGCACATTCTCGTCAATCTGAAACAGCAAACGAGTATACATCAGGATAACTTAACCAGAGAACATATAAACCTTTTTTTTGTACGCTTATAGCAAGTAACTGGAGATAAAGCATATGACATTGTTTTACATGAAAGCAATAAATTAATAGAAATATACTGGAACTTCTCCGCTGCCAACCCGGTGTTGCTCCTTGTTAGATTGGGTCCATGTGATTCAATTATAAAACAAATCAGACAGCAATACCAGCTACCACACTAACTCGGTCAAGAAACCAAGATCAATCAACTACGCCTCAATATCAAACAATAATCGGGGTCAATGAATAAAAAATAAAAAAGTAAAGAAAGAGTGGAGCAAGGGCGAAATTTCATCAACATCAATCAAAGACTCCTAATTCCAATTCAATTGTCCAAAACTCCAAACGACAGCCTAAAGTCAGTGCCAAAACTTTCTAGATGAACTGCCAAAATGCATGTAAACTCCTTCACGATACACTAAGATGCAATGACCAAACTTAACCTCAAAGAGAATTTAATTAATGTAAGAAAGACCAAACATCACCTCAAATTAAGCATTTAAAGGAAAATAAGCATATCCAGAGTTAACAAATACTATATTGATAGCACTGAGAGAAAAAAATCAGTTTGACAAGGAATTAAAACTACCTTCTTCCCTCTTTCTATATATTTGACAGCAACAAGCTCCTTTGTTTTCTTGTCCCTCACTAGCCTTGCCGCCCCAAAATTCCCAGAACCTAGTTCTTTCAATGGCTCATACCTTTCCTCCATCTCAGCTCAATTCAACCCAAAATCAGTAAATCACAAATTTCCAAAGTTTAAACTGGATATACCCAACAACATATATACCCAAATTAAACAGAAAGAACCTTTTTTTTTTAAAAGCAAACTTTCTGACCAGTCCCTGTTTCTGAAATTTTCTCAACTTCCAGTGCTGACACTTTATATAAATGATTAAATCTTAAGTATTAAAATATGCAAAACGTTGAGAACCTGAGCACGTGGATACATTATACGGCACGAATTTAATTAAGGGGTTGGATTCAAAGTTTAATCAGACAATTTCTTCAAGAGTGGGTGAGACTGACACTTGTATATGCTGAATAAAAATGCAATAGCTTAATTTTGTACATAGGCGTAAGATAACCATGCAAAACAGTTGTTTGAAATCAAAAACAGTAACAGCCATTTTAGCTTTAATTTTTTACTCTCACTTTTCAAATAATACTTCTAAATTATCTTATGACTTCGTGTTTTTTAGTTTTAATGGAGTATTAATAATTTTATTTATCACAACACTCACTCTATTTCAATTAATATGATACTACTATCTTTTTAAATTTGGCGACATTCCAAATCTTTGAAATATCATATGACCAAATCTTTGAAATATCATATGACACTTCTGTATCAATATTCACACGGGACAAACTACAGGACAAATTTTTGGGTCCTACCATTAGTGGTCGGTTGGTAGCTTTCATTCTATTTCTTGACCAAGTTAGATGTACACATGTTATCTGGATTTGAGAATTTGTAGTCGTCGAATGATGTTTATGTCACTGTCATGTTTCTTGATCTATTAAACAGGTTAATTCACTTTCACTTTTTCCCAAATAAAGTCACCGATCGAGTTACTACTGTTTTTCTTTGATTACTGTACGTACTCCACCTTCATTTTTCCAAAGCCATAACTCACTCACTCACTCGCCAAGTTATTTCAATTTTACTCCTCTCAAAGGGATTCAAAACCCAACGTGCTTGAGCATTCAATCCCTCTCATGCACGTGTTAAGTTGCTTACTTGGAAAGAGAACACGAGTTAAAACAAAAGTAGAAAACTAATTTAAGATTTGATATTTTCTAGAATTTTTTCTTAATTTACATCTAAAATCATACTTCCTTTGTTTTTAAAGAATGACACTATTTTCTTATAAAACATAACTTTTAAAATTTAAAATAATTTAACTTGAACTTTTTATTTTATTCATTAGTGATAAAAAAAATTTATAATCACATAAATGGTATGACCTATATATTTAAGATAATAAACTTCAAGAGTTTTACAGCAGCACATACATATTATTTCAAATTCAAAATCACATCTATCAAAAGTATTCTTCTCTTTACAACAACAACAACAATAACAACAACAACCCTGTATAATCCCACTTAGTGGGGTCTAGGGAGGGTAGTGTGTACGCAGACCTTACCCCTACCCTAGGGTAGAGAGACTGTTTCCAAATAGACCCCCGACATCCTTCCCTCCAAGAATTTCCCACCTTGCTCTTGGGAGACTCGAACTCACAACCTCTCGGTTGGAAGTCGGCATTCTTCTCTTTCTTAAACTTTAATATAGTCAAATTACGCCTTATATATAAATTACAATGAAGGGAGAATGAAAATTATTTAGGATTTGATATTTCTGAATTTCTAAATTCATGTCCAAAATCATATTTAGCATAATACTAGAAAGCTACATTGTTTAAAATTTGATATTTGCTTTTTTTATCATGCCTAGAATCATATACTACTATAAGTTTTCCGGTTTCTACTCAAAGTGGGTTTACAGTTTATCTATATTATTATAAAAACATGAATAAAATATTGATTTACAAAAATAACCTTATAATATTAAGCATACTAACTCATAATGAAAGGACATGACTGAAATTCTAGACATTAGCCTTGTAATCCTATTAGTTTTAAGGACATCTCAATGTATTAGTGTACAAAAATATTCCTAAAATATTGAATTTACTTTTCCCATAAATTTCGGTTGGAGTTTAGGACTTCGAATTCATTAAAAACACTGCAATCTTGGTTTAACTAACACTAATATATCTATGTTTGAAAATGTCACTCAAATTTTCAAGTAGATCATATATTTTGAAAGACATACAAATAAGAACTTTGAATTAGAAAAAGATTTGGCTACCTTTCACGTGACAATGTTCCTCCCACTCAAAGTGACACAAAAAGTCAACATAATATATGTTGTAAAACTTCGCTTCAAAATTTTAAAAATCAAAAGTGCACATTAAATTGGAAAAAGATTAAGTCTCCAGAGAATTGCATATCCTAAAATAAAAAATAGAATCACTAAAAAAAGGACTTATGGTAAATACAATTTTTACGTATAATAGGCATTAAATTGTGTATCATGCACTTGCCACTTGATCTATTTTGCTATAGAATATAAAAGTAAAACAATGACATGATATATCTATATTTATCTATCTATCTATATCTATTCTATATTTATATTATTATAAAAGTATGAATACAATGTTGGTTTACAAAAATAAACTTATAAGTGATATTAACCATAATAATTCACAATACAAGGACGTAATAGGAATTCTAGATATTAATCTTATAATCCTATTAATTATTGGGCATAATACTACACGTTAAGAATCCTATATGATTACCTTTAGAAATCTTATTATAGTACAATTACTTCAGGGCATAGACATATAATACTATATGTTAGCATGTAAACCTAATACCTCTAGAAACATGTTAAATTTTCTATTAGTAATTTCGGGATAGAGACGTATTTTTAGCCATGTAATCCCATTACGTTTAGGATATACTTCTTAAAACTTTCTATTACTAATTTAATTTGAAAACGTATTATATTGTCCTATTACTAATTTAATTTGAGAATGTATTATATTGTCCAAATTCATTTTAAAAAAAGAGCCTATATATTATTATAAAAGTACAACTACAATATTGATAAACCAAAATATCCCTAAAATATTAAACAGAAGATTCACAGGGAAAAGACATCAGTAATAACCTTTTTGTTTTGGACTACAATACCTTCTATATGAATTTTAAAATTAATAAAATATTTTCTATTAAGTTCTTATTAAAAATATGTGGGAAGATTTAATAAAATAATTTTATAAGAATCCTCCGTATTGGCAATATATTACCACTCTATAATGTCTAATACCCAAAAAAATAGAAGTTATGTTAAATGGATTGTGTAAGCACGTGATTTTTGCCCTATAGGAGAATTACTCCCAAAAATTCAAAAATAAAATGATTTTTCTTTGGTGTGCAATTTTGTGATATTTTGTGATATTTTGAATAATTGTTTGTATTTGCATGTGCATGTCTATTTGCTAAATTAATAAAAAATACAAAAATATGTCGCATTTTGCATGTAGGATTTAATTCTACAATTGTTAGTAATTAAATTTGTTTTACAAAAATTAAAAATTACAAAAATAGGCATCGTTTGCATTTTTAGCATTTAATGTCCAAATATACAATTTTATGCTTAATTAATACTTAATTGTGCGTTAATTGTTATTGGGAGTTAATTTGCGCTTTTATAACTTAATTTAGTTCTTAATAATAGTTTAAGTATTTTTATAATTTAGTTTTAGAAAAAATAAAAGAAGAAAAGAGAGCGAAAATATAAAGAAAGTCGGAATTAGGCCTCTTCTTCAATTTCAAGACATAGGCCCAAAAAATGGCCCAATCTTCCCTACGACCCAGTCCATTTCGAACTGGGTCGACCCAGTCCATAACCCAAAAGACCCAATACCCCTATCTTGCATTTCAAAGACACAAAACAAAACAAAAAAAAAAACCAAAAACCCTAAAAATGACCTAAGTCATCCGCCCCCCCTATCATTCTTCTTCTTCTTTTCTTCTTTCTTCTCCAAACTCTAAAACACACATCCATGGCTGCCATGGCTAAGCTCCAGCAGCTTAATCTCCTTCGACACAAGCGCACACACCACCAAGAAGCCCATCTTCTCCATGTCAAGCTCAAAAGGCTCGTCCATGGCTGCGTCTTCGTCGTCAACCCATCGCCATGTTTGTTGCTTTTTCTTGCTGCCTCTGCGTCGTCCATGGCTTCCCGAACTGCTGCTCCATTTTCTCCATAAGCTGCTGAACGCAGCAGCAGTAGACGACCAGCTGCTGCCCGTGTCCAGCTGCGACGAGCAGCCATGGCTGTCCGCGACGCTGCCGCTGCTCCTCCTTCCTCCGCCGCTGCTTCTACTTCTTCTTCGTCTTCGTCGTCCTTCGTTCGAGCTTTGGTCGAGGCTTGGACAGATTTGTTTACAATCAAAGTTCGTCGTTGATTCATCTCCGGTTAGTTGTTTTTGAGTTTTATTTTTGTTCATATTTTGTTTGATATTTTCCGGATCCAAAATCGTTAAATGATTTAATCCTTGTTTTGTTCGTTGTTCATCTTTGAAATAATTTTCTATTGTGTTCATGTTGTTTGTTAAATTAATTTTCAGATTTCAAAATAGAAGTTTAATTAGTTGTTTTCATGTTTATTTCATGTTTGTATTATTGTTTAAGTAAGTATTTGTTAGTTTGATGTTTGTTAGATTCAAATTGAAATTTAATCAACTATTTCTTCAATTTGTTTCATGTGTTTATGTATTGTTAGAAATTGTTAATATTGTTAAGTTCAAGTTTAAGTTCATAATTGTTTCTTCGTCGATCTTGTTATTTGTTTAAAGAATTTAGTTGTATTAAAGGAATATATTGTTTTAATCGTTTAATCCGTCATGTTTGTTGTCTTAAAATAGATTCATTCATGTTCATACTTTGTTTGGATGATCTTGAATCCGAATTTTGTATAGTTTGATTTCTTGTTTACCATTTATGATTATTTCTTGAATTGTTCTCATAATCTTGTTTAAAGTTTAATATAAGAATTGTTTGTTGTAATGTTGTTAGAGTTGATTTTAAGTTCAATATGATTGAATTTAGAAATCTTCATACTTTGTTTGTTGTTGTTGTTGAATCCGAAAATAGGATTGTTTGTTGCTAAAATATTGTTCAATCAAATTTTAGTTGTTCTTTGTTGTTCAATTTGTGTTCATGTGATTTGTTGTTGAAATGTTGTTAAAATCGTGTTCATGTGATATTGTTGTTATGATGTTCATCCGTGTTCATATTGTTGTTTGAACATTGTTAGAAATTGATCATATTGTCTATATTTTGGTTAAGTTTGATTAATTGATGTGTTATAGCTGATGGGTAGTTTGGTAAATTTGTAGTACGTTCAGGGGTAGTTTGGTAATTTCAGTAAGGTCGGAAGGGGTAGTTTAGGAATTGTACATTTTGAAATTGTTTATTTGAAGCATGGGGGACAAAATGAAATGGGGTGGGTTGTGATATAGTTGTTTAATATAAAGGGGGGACAAGATTTAATTTAAAGGGGGAATCTTGCATTATTTTAAATGAAGCATGGGGGA